ATGCTCCCCACCGCTAAACCCACCCCAAAACCCCGCGGGGAGATTGGGGGGGGTCCTCCTCACGTTGATGGAAGGCCAGGACTGGGCGTGCTCGGCCCGGGCGTAGGCGGCCGCCGTCCGGTGCACGGCGTCGGCGTCGGGCGCGGGGAAACCGGCGCAGAAGGAGGCGCAGCGGATGGCCCCGGCCTCGGGGCTGGGCGGGCTGGGCAGCGCCCACTCCTCCTCGTCCGAGGACTGCTTCTCGAAGCGGACGTGCTCCTCGAAGGGCTCGTGGGCGCTGAGCGGGGCCCCGGCGCCGCCCAGGTAAACCTCGCCGTAGGGCCGGTGCTTGGGCAGCGTGGAGGCCTCGGGCTGCAGCCAGAGCGAGCGGCTCTGCTGGTACAGGGCCACGTTGGTCACCTCCGAGTAGCTGCGGCGGCCCTGGAAGCCGGCCTTGATGTGGCGGCTCGAGGGTTTGGCGTAGGCCAGCTCCATCCTCTCGCCGGGCAGGCGGTGCGGGGACGCCGAGGCGGGCGACGGGCAGGGCGGCGGCGGCGCGGGCGAGCGGCGCTGCGGGGCCGGCGATGGGCTGGGGGGTGGCACCGGGGATCGGCGCTGCTGGGCCGGCGACTGGCACGGGCCCGGGGCCGGCGAGCGGCGCTGCTGGGCCGGAGATTGGCTGGGGGGTCCCGGCGAGCGGCGTTGGAGGGCGGGAGATTGGCACTGGGAGCGCCCCGGAGGAACGGGCGAGGGGCACTGCGGGGCGGGCGAGCGGCGCTGCTGGGCCGGGGAGTGGCACTGGGACAGCGGGGAGTGGCGCTGGCCTGGCACGGGACAAGGGGGACACACACGGGGAATGCTGCGCGTTAGCTCGGCGGCGTGGGACACGTGGGAAGTAAGTGTGGAAATGTGGGAAGTGTGGGACGTGTGGGAAATGTGCCTCGGCATCCAGGAGCATCCCCCCCTCAGACTGTGGGGACCCCCCGGGAAATTTTGTGGGGGATGCAGCCAGGGATGGGATGGTCCCAGGGATGGATGTTTTGGGATGGGGTGGTTCCAGGGATGGGTGTTTTGGGATGGATACTCCCAGGTATGCATGCTCCCAGGTGTGGGTACTTTTGGGATGGAATATTCCCAGGGGTGGATGTTCTTGGGTTGGGACATTCCCAGGTATGCATGCTCCCAGGTGTGGATACTCCCAGGTATGGATATTTTGGGATGGGACACTCCCAGGTGTGGATACTCCCAGGTATGGATATTTTGGGATGGATATTCCCAGGTATGCATGCTCCCAGGTGTGGATACTCCCAGGTATGGATATTTTGGGATGGGACACTCCCAGGTGTGGATACTCCCAGGTGTGGGTACTTTTGGGATGATATTCCCAGGTATGGATGTTCTTGGATTATGGGACATTCCTAGGTGTGGATGATCCCACACATGGATGCTCCCAGGTATGGATATTTTGGGACGGATACTCCCAGGTATGAATATTTTGGAATGGATACTCCCAGGTATGGATGCTACCAGGTGTGGATATTTTGGGATGGAACACCCTTGGTGTGGGACACTCCCTGGGCGGGACCAACACCCACCAGTGCTCACTCCCATCCATAGGACGAGCTCTCCCAGCCCCTTTTCCCGGTGTTTGTGCCCCCCAGGGCCACCCCGCAGCCCCCAGGGCTCCTCTCACCCCCGTTGAGGCTCTTGTCCTGCAGCAGCGCCCGCAGGATCTGGCTCTGCAGGGAGCTGAGGTTCCGCAGGCGGCACAGCTCCTCCGTCAGCTCCGTGTAGGCCAGCGCCAGGTTCACCCTGCGGAGCAAAGCACAGCCAACATCCCTGGGATTCAGCAGGGAGAAATCCCTCAGCAGGGATGAGATCCAGTTCAATCCCTCAGCAGGGATGAGATCCAGTTCAATCCCTCAGGAGGGGTTAAATCCTTCAGCAGGGGTTAAATCCTCCAGTAGGGGTGATCTCCTTCAGTAGGGCTGAAATCCTTGGGTAGGGTTTGATCTCCCCCCTGGAATTTCGGTTGTTTTGGGGTTTGGGTTCTTTTTTAATAAATACAGCTAAAAAATGTTTCGTTCTGCTGCCGGGATGGTGATTCCAGCATTCCTCCAGGAAATTCCTGAGGAATTCATGACCCAGGGTGGAAAAAAAAAAGCCACCTCAGGGTTTGTGAAATTCCCTCCCTCCACCCCAACACCACCAGATCCAGAGGACAGTTCCCAAAGGGGACACAGTGGCTTATGGAATCCCTGGGAATATCCCATCCCAAAATTATCCACACCTGGGAGCATCCATAGGTGGGAGTATCTGGTGGCCCCGCTGTGGATATTTTGGGTATCTCTGAACAGAGAATATAAATAGCACAAGAACAGAGAACGCAAACACCACACAGCCCCGCTGTCCCCCCAGAACCGACTCCAAACCACCCCAAATTCATTTTTTTAACTCCAAATGGAAAAGTTGCTGCCGCGGATGGCGCTCCCCCCCGCTCAGCTCCCGGCGCTCGGAAGCGCTGCCAAAATCATCAATTCTGCCCCGAGTTGGTGTCGCTTTCCGAGCCGGGATTCTCGGCGGGGACGCGAGGGGAGGAAGGAGCCGCGGGGCCGGAGCTCGGCGCGTCCCGGCGCGGCCCCGCTGAGCCGTTGTGACACCGCGGGGACCGGAGCCGCCGCTCGTAACCGCGGCTGACAGCGCCGGGCCCGGCCGAGCCCGCGGGCGCAGCGCCGAGAGAGGTGGGAAAGGAGGAGGAGAAGGGGAAAGTGAGGAAAAGAACGAGGGAAAGGAGGGGAAGGAGTGAGGGGGGGAAAGGAGGAGAAGAATGGAGAGG